TTGTTAATATCTCTTAAGAGATTTTAACTGACGGAGCTTTCTCTGACATTGCAAAGTCACTGGTGACCTACTTAAAACCGCGGGAAAAGCAGACAACAACAACACTTTATAAGATTCATGAGATATATTCGTCTTTTTGTTAAAAATGCATTTATATTCACAATGTGTGCCATTTTGGGCTTTTCGTTATCCGACGCACTGTACAAAAACTCGCAACTTACGTCTGAGGGTTTCCCGCCATGTTATTTTGGTCTCGAATGAACGCGAGAATCCGCGTGACACCATTACGTCATTAGCAACGAATGCACTTGTCGACCGGAAAAAAGGGATCGAAAGCCCTATTGACAAGCACAGATTTTAGTTTTCCTACAATAACGGCCGTTTTAGTGGTAAAATACAATAGAATATATTTCCATGCGTTGTTTACAATGTATTTCATGCGGATTTTTGAATCTCAAAGGAAGAGTTATTATTGCTTTAACTTCCTCGCAAGGTCAGCTAACACAAGGATGAATAAGTCCAGTTGAAAATGTGATGTTGTGAAGTTAACAATGTTTACAGTTCACGGTATACTGTTTTAGGTAGAGATATATAGCAAGCGTGTACCCTGTTAACCCAGCGGGCAAATTATGTTGTTTTAACGTTGAAACAACGTTGAACCATAACGTTGATAATACGTTGGATAAACATTGGATTTGAAGGTTGACTCAAAGTCAGATAACAACATTGTATCAACCCCCGTTGTTAGACAACATTCTTGCATGAAAAGACATTAAAATGACCTGAAATGTTTTTATTTTTGGTACAAAACACAGGTACACAATTATAACGTATACTGTAAAAACATCCAAGTGCCTGCTTTGTCTGATCTTTTCAACGCATTTAGCTCTTAAGCATGTTTTGCACCTAAGCATGGTACACCCTTTTAGCCTGGATGTGTTTAGCAGTAGGACATGTTTGATGGCTAAATATATGTAGGGTACATGTATATATGTACGGGTGGCCTTATGTCCCACACGGGACGAAGAGGAATGATGATGATGATATATGTATGGCCTTTAAGTTAAAATTTCCAAGGTTTAGATCAATATATATATATATATATATATATATATATATATATATATATATATATATATATATATATATATATATATATAGTAAAAGTAAAAGTGTTTTTCCAGTACGGGTATATATTATATATAATAAAAAGAAAAAAGAACAGTTACTATTTTGCCCCGACCGGTTTCATTCTTTCTTCAGGGGGTTTTGTTTATTTGTTACTAGGCTGTCTTATTTGTTGTCTGTGAACGGTCATTCTATGTCGGAGTGTGTCTCCAGTTTGTCCTATATAGTTCTCACCGCATCCACTGCAGGTCAATACATGAATTAAATTTGAGCTAGTGCAGGTGAATGGATGTTTAATTCTAAATGTAAGTCCATTTTTTAATGTTAGATGGATATATATGTTTTTAATTATAGCTACTGATTTAAAAGCCTTCTAAGGTGATTGCTGTTTGTATTTTTGTATCCAGCTGACATTCACTGTAGCTCCTTCGTGTACTTAAAACATGCTTGATACGCCCTGCTCGTATGACTGTGTAAATATCCTTTGGCAATCAGCCAACATTAATTGAAAACCGTAAATGCTCCATTATTGATTGTGTCGACGATGAAAAAGTCCCTCATTTCAGTCCGCAGTTAAGCGTTAGTACTAGTTTATACAATGTACGAACTTCTGTACTGAGCCTTTATCTGCGTATGCGCGCGTCAAATTTCTTTGAAAGCACATTATACTGTTGACTTTTGACACATGATTATTTGACATTCCAATAAAATGGATGTATTGAATATTCTGTTTAGTTTATTCAAAGTAAATAAAATGGAAAAGAGAAGATCAATCGAAAATAAAAAAAAACTTTTGTAGGGCATAGTTTTCTTTTCACTTATTAAAATTAGCACTTCGGCATAGCATGGTGAATTTGGTCTCCTTCAGGTGTACAGGTAGACAGTTATAGCTCGAACCGATAGCGCTACCTCGTCAATCATGATAAAAATTGGGTGACTACCAAAATTCTCTCAGTCACCCAGTAGAATAAGGATTATAAATATGACTGACCCTGATATCGTCAGTCAGTTGCTAAATGTAAATACAATACCAGAGTTATTCATTTTATCATACATTCATTTTATCATTTGTATGGAACTTAGCGTATTTCTTGAATCGAAATATGTTTGTTCCGAGCTGTCTAATTTTTCGTCGTTATGTTCTTCGTTCTGTTTTAGAGATAAACTATGTTAGTGTTTCCGTAAACGTGTACATGAACATGTATGCACTGGCGCTGTTTAAGACCTTAAAACCATTATAGCCTAGATTAGATAGGGACTGGTAAATATCGCTTACCGGGTAAATGTTTGAAGTCTTGCTGTGGTCTAAAATAAACAAAATGTTGAACGAGTTATTTACAGTACATAAATACTATCAATAAAAGGCAAAAAAAATGTTTTTGTTAGAAAAACTTAGAAGTTAGAAAAAGGGAAAATTAAATGAGAAATTTGTTATTGGTCAGTTTCTGGTGACGCCATATAAGTCTGATTTACAGACTGTTGTGTGTGTGTTGTCAGTGTGTTGCAATAATAACACGTGGACAGTTGACCAAAAAATCGAGGTATCACAAAAACAACATGCCGTAAGCTCATGTTGCACCCGGGCGTCATAATCTAGGACATAAATATGTCAGCTGTTTTATCCTACCTTCGGAGACAGCAAAGCGTCAAGTTTGAATCAATGCTTTGAATATAAAAACCTCCACGTACTGGCGATACATGGTACAATCTGTGACGAATATTTCGAGCTTAATGCATCGTACGTAACCTGAGAGTTTCTGAAAAGCGTGGAGAAACTCAGAGATGATACTGTTCCCAGTTTATTCGACTTTTAGGAGTACAAAAATGCAACAGTAAATGCTAAAGCGCTGACAACGAGAGTCGTGCCTTGAGGAAATTCGAATGGTGCGGCCGCCGACAGGAAGAGAAGAGCAACTTCTAGAACTGAAAACAGTCCATAGCAGAGGTATTTAGTCAGTTTATCAGGTTTATTTGTGAAAACTTATATATTAATGTATTATTATTTTTAATTATTTCTTAGTCTTACTGCTACACTGATCGCGTGAGTGTAAATCGGGAGAACCATGCAGGGTTAGATGCACTGGTGTACATGTAAAAAACAAGATAAGCTGCAAGCAACCCGACATATTAATGTTTTTTATCGACTTGCCTGGAAGACGGTGGTAAGCTTCACATGCGTGAAAAACTGAGCCAGCTGCCAAACCTTTGT